TATGAGTTCAATACCCGGTTAAGGCAGTGGAGAACTTTCAGAGGGAAAATTAGCGGGTGATAACTGACATCCATCAAACTTGGCACGTGGAACTAGAACAGTCTACCCCAGTGATTGAAATAAAGGGTTCAGTTCGAAATTCCAACCACCTGAAGAAGGCCGGACCGTACAACGGCCGAAACGTTGTGACAAATATGGCGACAAAGATGAGAACAATAGTCTGACTAATGTAAATACTGTATCTTAGGATATGTTATAAAAAAATTTTTTATATAAATTGTTATTTCAACAACATAAATGTTTCTCTTCAGGTGATGTTCAACTACTGGTGAGTAGAAGATTAATATGATTTTAAAAAGCAGAATACATTAAAAAAATAAACTTGTGTGCTTTGCTATGATTAAACAGTTGAATGTGACCCTATGCTAAATTCAAATTCAGCAGAAAAACATTTTTAAAAAACATTTTTAATAAAGGTCATGACACAAAGTTTTCTGCATATAAATGTTAGCCAGTTTCCTTTTGGGCAAAAGACTGTTACATTGTTTCGTAAGACGCATCAAAATCAGATGCTAAAACTTACCAAGAAACAAAAATGAAAATGATGGGGAGGTAATTTAACATAATGTTATCCAGTTAAATGCTCCTTCTGAAGTTGAAACAAGTTCGTTATATTCACTTATGTGCTAATACCCTAGGGAAAGGCATGAATCCAACTCTTCTGGCCTGAAGAGGCATGGTAGAGTAATGGATTGTAGCTCGGATTGACGAATCGGAGAGCCGAGTTCGAATTCCAGTCGATTTCATTACATTCACTTATGTGCTAATACCCTTGTGAAAGGCATAAATCCAACTATTTTGGCTTGAAGAGGCACAGTGGAGTGATGGATTGCGGCTCAGATTGAGGAATCAGAGAGCAGAGTATGAATTCCAGTCGAGTTCATTACATTCACTTGTGATGTCCACGAAGACTGATTTGACATGCAATCGGTGCTACCAATGAAACTTATGAATGTTTTATGTTCTAACAAAAAAGTCAAGATGAGGGTGTGTCCTTCAACAATTTTTTCAGTAATTTGCAAGTTCTGTTGAAAATGTCCAATTTTTGTAACAAGTCCCTAGACTTGATGACAAGGGACCAGATTGTCACTGTTATAAGGGGCCTTGACACAAGACAAGACCTATTGAAAATTCAAGGTCTTGGTCTTTTTTCATGACATCATCACCAAGGCAATTTTCAAATATAAGCCACTTGAATTTCCTAACTCTTTTCACATAGTCCAAACAAGAGAGTATATAATTTGTCCATCATTTACAAGATAGTTTCTTCGCTGCACAGAGCGAAGGGATGAGGTCTGAATCAACCCATATTCATGAGAATGAAGGCAGCTGAAGAAAAGATGTATGCTTCACACCAGGGATGCCAATTATATGATTTCTACTGCACTCCCAGATGGAACAAATGCCATGTGTACGGAAAGATTTGCAATGCAGGCAATGAAAAAAATCACTTTTGATCCAAATGCCCTAATCTAGAATGGAAGACAACTAAGAAAAAAAGCAATGTGGTAAAATGAAACGGAAAACAAGAGATATTCACAATGACCCCATGATGAACATGCACAATGGGTAAATATTGTCTATTCAAAAAAAGAACAAGGATACTAAGATGCATGTTGTTACTAAAAAAAGAAGTGGTGGTATTCCAGATTGACACTGGAGAATATGTTAAGAAGCTACCTGAAAGATATATGAAACATGTCAGGTGGTACCAAGGAGTCCTAATGTTGAACAAGTCCTTGATGAATCCATGAGGCATGTGTCAACAGGTTATCTAAAACCCTAAAACCAACAAAATCTACTCAGTGCAATTCCTTATCTTCAAAGATAAAAAATGTCAACCCCTGTTGGGTTTTCAAGCATGTGAGCAGATGTTTTTTTTGCCTTAGAAGATGAGAACTTTCATCACATTGTGACTATAGCAGTGGAATACGAGTTCAAGGAGTTGTGTCATTGCAGTTGAAGCCTAATGCCATCCCAGCTGTGATGACAAATAGAAAAATTCCTGGTTTGGTCTGACCTCAATTAAAGGCAGAATTGAAGAGGTTAACCAAATTTGGCATCATTGAACCCATAGACAAACCTACACCATGGATTAGTCAACTGGTCATAACTAAAAAGAAAGATGGTTCCCTGAGACTATATCTAGACCTCATGAGCTCAATAAATCTCTCGTCTGGGAACTCTATATCATGTCTATTCTGGAGGATATATTCCATAACATGAAAGATGCCAGAATATTTACCAAGGCAGAACTATCCTCAGGGTATTGGTATATAAAGCTTGATGACGAGTTTGGTGACCTAACCACATTCCAGGCAAGTTTTGAACATTTCCGTTGGTTGAGATTGAATTCTGTCTCTGGAATCTTTCAGAGCAAAATTCTTGAGCACTTTCAGGACTTAGAAAGCATTGTTGATGACCTGGTGATATTTGGCACAAATCGTGAAGAGCATGATATACAGGTATAGGCACTGCTTGAAAGATGTCTGATGACGGATGCAAACTCGACCCAGCAAAATTTGTGATGGGACTGCCTGCCATCACCTTCATTGGACACAGGATCACATGCAAAGGCATTGAGGTAAACCCAGAGAAAGTTAGTGCAATCCGGAAGATGGATACCCCGGAAGATATAGGGGAATTGTTCAGATTCCTGGGGATGGTTAATTACGTGGCAAAATTTATCCCCAATTCAACCTCCATCGTCAAGTCTCTTCAGGACCTCACAAAATGCAGGTCATATGGATGTGGTTCGAATCACAACAAGCCATATTTGACTCAGTGAAGAGATTGATTAGTAGGGCACTAATACTTGCCAACTATAATCCATATTATTCAGGATTTGACACTAGAAAATGATGCTAGTGAATATAGCCTGGGAGCAGCCCTGATGCAAAAAGAGAGACCTGTTGCATATGCAAGTCATTCATTGCCAAACAAAGAATGACATTATACACAAATAGAAAAAGAAATGCTGGCAATGGTCTATGGACTGAAGAAATTTCACTGCTACACATATGGAAGACATGTGAAGGATTTGACAGATCATAAACCTTGAGTATTAATCTACGCAAAGCTGTTATCAAAAGCACTCAGAAGGCTGCAGATTCTGATGATGAGGCAATAGCAATATAGCTTCTCACTTCAGTATAGACCAAGCAAAGAGATTCCTTTGGCAGATTTTCTTTGCTCGTGCACCAACAGGCAGGCCAATAAAAGAAGTTTTGTTGGTGGTGAACAATTTGATGTTGCATCCAATTCAAGATTATAGGCAGGCACAGATCCGCAGATACACAGCTGAGGATGCAACAATGATGGTGCTAGCCATAATTATTGCCAAGATATTCCTGCCAGACAGCATCAAACCATTTTTTGACTATCAGGATGAGTTTGCAGTACAGGACGAGTTAATCCTGCATGGATAAAGATCATAATCCATAAACTCTGCATGGATAAATGATTGTAATCCATAAATCCTGCATGGATAAAGGATTGTAATCTGTAAATCCTGCATGGATAAAGAATCATGATCTGTAAACCATTTTCTTGAGGATGAGTTGACAGTACAGGATGAGTTAATCCTGCATGGATAGAGGATCATAATCCATAAATCATGCATGGATAAAGGATCATAATCCTTAAATCTTGCATGGATAAAAGATCATAATTTGTAAATCCGGTATGGATAGAGGATCATAATCCATAAATTATGCACAGATAAAGGACCATAATCCTTAAATCCTGCATGGGTAAAGGATCATAATCCATAAATCATGCATGGATAAAAGATCATAATCCATAAATCATGCATGGATAAAGGATCATAATCCTTAAATCCTGCATGGGTAAAGGATCATAATTTGTAAATTCTGCATAGATAAAGGATCATATTTTGTAAGTCCTGCATGGATAAACTATTGTAATCACTAACTCCTGTGTGGATAAAGGATCATAATTCTTTAATCTTGCATGGATAAAGGATCATAATCTGTAAATCCTGCATGGATAAAGATTGTAATCCCTAAATTCTGTGTGGATAAAGGTTCATAATCCATAAATCCTGCATGGATAAAGGATCATAAGACCTAAATCCTGTGTGGATAAAGGATCATAATCCTTAGTGTCATGCATCAAGAAATGAATACAAAGGCTCATGCTGGTCATTTGGACATCTGTCTGCGGAGAGCAATGACCTTATATTTTGGCTGAGGTTGTCAACTGAGATCAAACAGTATGTAGAGGCATGTGCTACATGCACAACATTCTCAGATCGCCAGCCAGCAGAACCCCATGTAATCACTGTCATTCCAGAAAGACCCTGGAAAAAAGTGGCAGCTGACCTCATGATGTCGGGTGGAAAAGAATATTTGATAACTGTGGACTCTCACAGCAACTTCATTACAGTTGATCATCTTGTTGCACTAATGTCAGATGCAGTGATTGAGTGCCTTAACAGCCATTTTGCACGCTATGGCATACTTGATGTGGTGGCTTCTGATAACAAGACCCAGTTCACATCTTACCATTACAAGAAGTTTGCAAAGCAATGGATGTTTCAACATGAAACCGTATCACCAGGTAACAGCTAAGCTAATGGAGAAGCAGAGGGCAGCAGCCAAAGTGATGAAGTGGTTATGGCCCAAGTTCAGAGCTTCAGTAGAAGATCCCCTCAGAGGATTACTGAAGTTGCAGAATTCACCAGCCAAAGGACTAAGCCCGATCTCAGCACAAAGGTTATTTGAGAGAAGAACAAAGGCATTGTTTTCACCAACATAAAGCATGACTCCACCCATACTCTGCTGATGAGCCAGCCACCCATACTCTGCTGATGAGCCAGCCATTCATACTCTGCTGATGAGCCAGCCATTCATACTCTGCTGATGAGCCAACCATCCATACTCTGCTGATGAGCCAACCATCCATACTCTGCTGATGAGTCAGCCACCCATACTCTGCTGATGAGCCAGCCATTCATACCAGCCAGCCATCCATACTCTGCTGATGAGCCAACCATCCATACTCTGCTGATGAGCCAGCCATTCATACTCTGCTGATGAGCCAGCCATCCATACTCTGCTGATGAGCCAGCCATCCATACTCTGCTGATGAGCCAGCCATTCATACTCTGCTGATGAGTCAGCCACCCATTGATGAGCCATACCCATACTCTGCTGATGAGTCAGCCACCCATACTCTGTGGATGAGCCAACCACCCATACTCTGCTGATGAGCCAGCCATCCATACTCTGCTGATGAGCCAGCCATCCATACTCTGCTGATGAGCCAGCCATCCATACTCTGCTGATGAGCCAGCCATTCATACTCTGCTGATGAGTCAGCCACCCATACTCTGCTGATGAGCCAGCCACCCATACTCTGCTGATGAGCCAGCCATTCATACTCTGCTGATGAGCCAGCCATTCATACTCTGCTGATGAGCCAGCCATCCATACTCTGCTGATGAGCCAGCCATTCATACTCTGCTGATGAGCCAACCATCCATACTCTGCTGATGAGCCAACCATCCATACTCTGCTGATGAGCCAGCCACCCATACTCTGCTGATGAGCCAGCCACCCATACTCTGCTGATGAGTCAGCCACCCATACTCTGTGGATGAGCCAACCACCCATACTCTGCTGATGAGGCAGCCAACAAAGAAAAGAAAAGACTAAGATACCAGGTGTTCGGGCAATGAATTTAAAAACCTACAGATGGGTGATACAGCCTGAGTCCAGCCACTTAAATCGACCTCAAGAGATGGGAAAGAAGCTAAAATTACCAAACAAGGTTTAGGATGGTCATATAAAGTGGAGACAAGCCAGGGCAAAGTATACCGATGAAACAGGTGCTTCTTGTGACAGATTACTCCATCGGCACACTCATTTATCAATAGTTTTCCAGCAACTGACAGTTGAACCTCCACAAAGGTAGCTCCTTTGATAGCTAGAGAGGCAAATGATCCTGAGACAGAGATGACCATAGAGTATCCATAAACAGGCACAACCCGAGTTGGACACACTCAGGAAGAGACGTTCGCAAGCCAGTATGATACAGAAGTGAATAAGCAAACAATCTGTTGTCCAGGGTGGAAACACACCCAAGTTTTACAATCGTATATATTCATTTTTTTTCTTTTTTTCTTTTCTCTATCATTTGCATGTTCCCTAAAATAAAACAAAAAAATATTAAAATAAATAAATAGGGGCAAAGATGTTGAGTGTAATGGAAGTTAACCCCCTTTCACCAGCACAGGATTTAGGACAAATGAGGCCCTGTGCAAGTAAAGCTATTAGACCCCTTACTTGGGCCCTGAAGGAGGTAGGCTAGGCATGGAAGAAAGATGGCCCCCTCCCACTGACCAAAAGGGCCCTGGGATTAAGCATGCCTAATCACAATGGTAAATCCAGCACTGCCTTTCACAAATAGGGAGTTCAGTCCCTTAAGGAAGATGACCCAGATGTACTGCAATGAAAATAAAAACACAGATTACAATCTGTCTTCATCTTATCCTTCTTGACACACGCATAACATAACACACCCTGATCAGTTCCTAAGGGGTGTGAGGAAACTGAATTATTAAGGTTGGTTTATTAAGGAAACGTTAGCGTAGTGCTTCGTGATCAGACATAAAATGTTACATGGTAGAAATTTTACCAATTGCTACCATCATAATTGCGTAAATGTAAACTAAAGGAAAAAAAACGAACGGAAATTGTTGGTAAAACTGCAGTAAAGTTGGAAACACTGCAATGTGAAGTTTGTTTTTGATAAAGAGAGGAACTGCAGCTCAAATAGAGTTGAGACGTGTTTACTCAAATGTGATGTTTAAATATTGTTGAATTGTGTTTTTGCTTACACATAATTATCTATCTGTGGTGGATGCTGTAAAAATATTTATATATATATATATATATATATATATATATATATATATATATATATATATATATATATGTATATATATTATAGTTAATTGATTTAAAATATGTTTTTTACGCTACACAGTTCTAACCATGTTTCAAAAATGGAAGCTAAAAGCTCCGAATTTAATTTTGTAATTAAATTAAAGACATTAGTTCCATTTCATCCTCAAGCGAATTTTGGAGTAACTTTTAAAATTACTGGGTTTTAAAGACACAGCTAAAATCATAATTCATGTTTCCAAGGATACAGATAAATCGACTTTCACTAAACAAGGGGTGTCTGCGTGTTCATTATCGCTGTATTTTGATGTATCCGTTATTAGTTATGTTAATATTAATGCTCTGTAAATTTACATTGAGCACTATTTTGTAAAAATAAAATATCTATAAGAACACCGGATTATATATCTTACTGTTCTTTCTTTTTATTTATATATACATACATATATATATATATATATATATATATATATATATATATATATATATATATATCATACACCTCATGAATATTTTTAGAAAGCAATTTGAATTTTATGAAAGTATGTGTTAATTGTTTCTGGGTTAGTTTATAAACTACTAAAGACAGTTGATGTAAACTGAAGTTATAGGTGAGATCTAATGTTTATTACAATTTAGTTATGTTATTGTTATACTATGGCATTTTGACAAAGAATACCAAGTGTAAAAATGGTAAATGCTCATTTTAAAATTGTATTAGAAAGGAATTTTTAACATAAATGTCTTTAATATGGGTTTTTGTAATACATTATTTTGTTGTCAGTTATGTAAATAAAGATTAAAGAAATACAATGGTTTTGTTATTTACACATGAGATCAATCTTGTTTTTTTGTCAATTCTGGAAGGGTTTGGGAGAACTGGTCAGTGATTCGAAAGGGGTTGGGACAACTGGTCAGTGGTTTGAAAGGAACTGCCAGAACTGGTCAGTAGTTCGAAAGGGGTTGCAAGAACTGGTCAGTGGTTTGAAAGAGGTTAGGAGAACTGGTTGGTGGTTAGAAAGGGGTTGTGAGAACTGGTTGGTAGTTTGAAAGGGATTGCCAGAACTGGTTGGTGTTTTGAAAGAGGTTGCAAGAACTGGTCAGTGGTTCAAAAGGAATTGCCAGAACTGATTGGTGGTTCGAAAGGGGTTGTGAGAATTGGTTGGTGGTTTGAAAGGGGTGTGAACAAAGAAAAAGATTAACACTAGGATGGCTGAGGTGTCGTTTTTCGACATCTTCAAATTTCAACAAATTACTATGGAATAAGTAGTTTTGGTTTGTTGCTGAGGCTTATGGACAATTATTGAATTTTAGCAAAGATCCTTAACAGACTTAATTCTTTAAAAAATATTCAGTGGAATAGCTGATATTTGAGGTTTTACCTTGAATGACCGAGGTATGATGAATATAAATATAGATATCTAGACTCGTTTCGAAAAACCCTCGAATTTTTGATTTGCTAATCAAATCAATCTCGAGGGAAAAAAGGTTTTAAAAAAAGAAAGAGCTACAAACATGAACTTCTGCCGACAAAAAAATCGCACAGATGCAGGTCTGAAGCCCAAAGAAAAAACCCCGATACGAGTAACAACTAACTAACAAAAGAGCTCAATACAACCGTAGAGCAGACTTAGATACACCTAGTGAGCCAAACTTTCCCTGACGATCCGTTTAGGTGAAACCTAGGTAGGTTTGTCTGGCTCACTAGGTGTATCTATATATATATATATATATATATATATATATATATATATATATATATATATATATATATATATATATATATATATATATATATATATATATATATATATATATATATATATATATATTTTTCTTTCAGTATGAGGTATACTAATATTGAATTTCTTTTCAGACTTGTTATTCCTGACTTGAATATTGAATATATTAAAGATGGCTGCTTCATGGTGTAATGTAAATAAAGATGTCAAAGGAGCTGACCATCCTTGCATTTAGAATCACTGGCCTAAAGAAACCAATTTGTTCTACTTGACTCTATATATTCACCGGTTATGCATCTATACCAACAACAAAGATGAGGATAACAGTCCAAACATAAATAATGTAAACAAGGAAACATTATTTAACAAGTCTTTCATTTTTTTTTTGATAATACAAAAAGACAATTTTTTTTACAAAAAAGTTGAAGCCTTACCTGTTTAAAAGGAAGTTCTGTGTGCATTGTAAACATTCGAAACAATGCGATGAAGATAATCATCATTAGTGGTAGTAAGGCCATCACCCATCCTATTGCATTGGCCCAACCGGGATAGACATAATCGCCATAGTTCAAAGGTGTATACTGAATCCAGTTAAAAATCATCAAAAACTGTAAAGTAAAAATAAATAAGTAAATAAACATCAAACATTTAAATATATATTGGTTAAATTTGATAGTTACAAATATCTGTTAAATATTAAATTAAATTGAATTAAAATACTGAGCTCTGTTCCATCTTCAAGCAAAATTTTTTTTTTCAAAAAAAAATTTTGCTTACTGAAGATGGAACAAAGCTTCCTTTTTCAAATAATTATATTGAAGTTTTTGGCTCTTGTTTTGAAGCATGAGAACTCTTATGTAGCGTGTTGGAATCATATTTTTAAATAAATAATTATATTTATACTCTACTTTTGTATCAAGCACTATTTTTAAAAATAATAACAAAAATACTAAAAGAACTTTGGATTATTTACCTAACGAATTCTTTTCTTTTTTTATATATTTTTCACACACACACATATATATATATATATATATATATATATATATATATATATATATATATATATTTATATATATATTAAAAAGAAGAGAGAACCCGCAAACATTTTTGGTTGTAATGTGGATTTTTTTAAAGAAAATATGTATTATGCTTTATTTTCTATAATTTTGCTTTTGTGACTCCCTGTATTGTGTGTTGGTTAAATTTTGGATGAGGTTAATATGTCTTTCAGGTTTTTAGATTGGCATTTGCTTTAATTATTTTGGTTGTTTTTTTAATATTTTTTAGTTTATCATTCTTGTTAAGTAGGTCTAGATTTTTTGTAATTTCTGTAAATAGTTCTAGATTGTTCTTGTTCTATGTTGAGACATATGCTAGAGTTTGTTCGACGTAATGTTTCTTTGGATTTTGTAGTTGGTCTAAAGGAATTTTTTTTGCGAGCTCAAAACCTTTGTTTATTAGTGTTATGGGGTAGCCTTGTTTTTTTAGAGTTCTATGTAGTTCTTACAGATGGATTTTTCAGGGGTGTTTGTCCGTCACTATAGTACAAACTCCACGTACTAGAGAATAGGGGATGGATTTCAGGCATCTTTTTGGGTGATGGCTCTTGAAATGAAGATATTGTTGGGTGTCTGTAGGTTTGTTGTAGATATCTGTGATTATTCAGTTGTTTTTATATCTAATAGTAATTCATTAAAGTTATATTCTTGGGTGAATTTCATTTATGTAAAGGAATGAGAAAGATATTATTGTGTACAGAAACTGTTTGCAGTGATTAATAATCCAAGACAGATTTCTATTCTGGTGTTCTAGTGTCTTTAAGGACACTAGAACACCAGAATAGAAAAAAAAATTAAAAATTTTGCTTTTTTATTTTTAATGTTTTTTATCATTTCCTCTCAAGCAAGACAATAAATATATATAAGACACAATGGGTTCCATTTTATGCCAAAAATATAAAAAAAAAAAACATTATTAAGGAATAGACCAATAGGAGAAACAGGAATAGTTTGTAACGATTGATAAAATGATTGAAATAAGAATAGTAAAGCAGTTACCGTTAATGTTGCTGGAGAAATGTATTTCCAGAAAAGGGAAAAGTATTTGTGAAAAGTTCTTCCTTGCTGTCCAATCATAAGTTCAATTTCAATGATGAATTCTTGGGCACCTGAAAAAGATTAAATTATTAATTATATTATATATATATATGATGTATGTGTGGTGTGATAAAGGTATTGGACATATATATATATATATATATATATATATATATATATATATATATATATATATATATATGTATGAACCTTTCATTTATTTTATTGTTTCCCATTAGAATAAGTGAAAATTTTTTACTATAGGAATGCATTGGAAAAAGATTTTTAATAGGAATGCATTGAAATGATTTTTGTTATAGGAATGCATTGGAAATGATTTTTTATACTATAGGAATTTTTTTGGAAATGATTTTTTTATAGATTAATGCATTGGAAATGATTTTTACTATAGAAATGCATTGAAATAATTTTTACTATAGATATGCATTGGAAATGATTTTTACTATAGGAATGCATTTGAAATGATTTTTACTATAGAATTTCTTGCCAATGATTTTTACTATAAAATGAATTATAAATGATTTTTTACTATAGGAATGCATTGGAAATGATTTTTTACTATATGAATGCATTGAAATAATTTTTTTTTATATAGGAATTATTTAAATGATTTTACTATATAATGCATTGCCAATAATTTTTATAGGAATGCATTGAAATTATTTTTTACTATAGGAATGCATTGGAAATGATTTTTATATATTAATAAATTTTCAATTTTCTTTTTTCTATAGGAATGCATTGGAAATGATTTTACTATAGGAATGCATTGACAATGATTTTTACTATAGAAATGCTTTGGAAATGATTTTCTATAATTTGATTCAATATATAACCAAAAATAAAATAGTTGATCATTAAATTCTTTGTATATTAATATATATATGTTTGTTTTTACCATGTATTCAAATTTAGAATGCATTCAATTATTTAAATCAAAGAAGACTGCCCAACTAGATTGGATTTTTAGTCCATTATTTGAAAATATATACATGCCACCCTTTGTTTCTAGAAAAAAAAAACATTAAAATAGATATAAGTCATATATATGTTTCACAATCTATCACCAATTTATTGAATATTGTATTTTGTTTTTCTGATTTTTTCCCTAAGCAAGGCAATGTTTTGACAAAAAAATTCTGGAGGTACTGATTATTAAAAAAAATAAAATTTTATTAAAATTAAGAAGATATGAAAAAATGATTGTCATTACTTTTAAATTTTTGAAGATCAAATTTGACTGAAAAGCAAGAGGCTGGGAGAGAGGATGAAAGGATTTACATAGATTTTTTCTACTCTCTGTCATTCAGTTACCTAAAATCATATAAAGTTTATATATATATATATATATATATATATATATATATATATATATATATATATATATATCATATGCATGGTTTTATATAAAGTGGATATCAGCTTTTTTGAGGAGCTGAGTTAGAATTCAGTCAGAATCCATTACATTCACTTATGGGCCAACAACCTCGGGAAAGGTATAAATCCTCTTCTTCTCCCTCCAGCTATGGGTAAATAGCAGGACAGACTGGGTTCTGTAGCCTTGGATGGCAACTGGTCTAGGAGAAGGAGAAATCTGAATCAAAACCTTCATGTGGGTCATTTGGGGACCTTGTGGCACGTAGTGCACAATGGTCTCTGTATTCGGCCCTTCAAAAGTATGGATGGTTCTGCACAAAACCTTCACCACTATAATCAAATCTCATGTGCTAAAAGAACCCATTGAGTTATTGCTTGACCCTCATGCTTCAAATACAATGGGGAGAGTCCACTATATATATATATATATATATATATATATATATATATAATAAAATAATAAACTAGAATTAAAATTTATAAAATAAAATAAAGATAGCTTCCCCATATTGTTTATATAAATATTTTTATAGTAATTGTTTTTTTTAAACATTTCACCTCGAGCAAGGCAATAAAGCCACTAAGATGTAATGGTTACTGAGTGTGAGAGAATATGAGAAAATGGAAATATTATTAAAGAGAAAGAACAATTAAAAACAAGAATTAAGAAATCGGTAGATAATGATTGACATTGCATTTGAACTTTTGAAGATCAATGTGACTCGAAAGCAAGTGGTTGGAAGAGAGTTCCTTGCGAAAATTTATAAAAAAGAAACTCTTTTGGTAGAACTTACTATTGCATCTATTTCAAATGTAAAATAATAAGACCTAACTGCCAATCTAGTACTGCACTTAAATCCGTAAAGGTACCGAAAGAGTAACAGAACAATTGCTATGAAAATATTTTTAGAAAAGGTGATGGGAAAATGATTAAAGCTCAGATGCCATGTCAGGACCCACCAACTTTTATATTAAGAGATGGCTGATGCTAACCTTCAGGAAAATAACATATTGTACTTTCTCAGTATAATGTTTCCTGCTGACATGAAGTGGAATGATTATATAGAATCCATTTCTAGGTCTGCTGCAAGGGAAGTCGATTCCTTGTCATACCAGGCAGTTTTTTTGTTAGAATCTATCTTACACATTTATGACTCTACCTTTATTCCATACATTGAATTTGGTCTGGTGCTTTTACTATGTATCTAGAGATTTTGGACAAAATCCAAAAAATAATCTGCAATGTTATTGGTCCCGGCCTAGTATCTCAGCTTCAGTTATATTCCTTCTGCTGTAATGTATCTTTCCTGTGCCATTTTTATAAATATTTTCATTGTAATTGTTCTTTCCTCTTTAAATTGTTGTTTTATTCCCCTCCCCGGACAGACAATGAATTGTGTATATGGGGACTAGTCCAGACTTTCATAGAGACATTGTGGTATTATGGTGAATGTAATAAGAAAGGTAAGTAGGAATGCATTGTTTTGGTGTTAAGAGTATTGGGTCAGGGTTCATGGCTAGTTAAGTTTAACATTAAGACAGAAGAAGACCGTCCTTTTCTTCCATTCCCCATTTTGGCCTTGTGCTACATTTTGTATTAAATTACAAATAAATATCCCTTTCCTTTTTGATACCTCAGCATGATAAATTTAAGTACAGGGTTGGCAGTTAGGTCTCATTATTTTACTGATGAAATTGCTAGATGCAAACATAAGATCTATGATAATGGTAATATTAACTGTTTCCCTATAAGGAAATACTTGGCATTCACTGAGTAGCCAGTACTTTTGTCAGTTGAAATTTATAAAATCTTTCTCTTAAAACAATTTTTTAGGAAAACAGATTTCTCAAATCCAGTAGATTTTATCACTCTTTCCAGTACAGATGGGGGGTTTCCTTCCTAACCTTTTGTTTGAAGTGGTGCCAAATGTCAACATCTTGATTATGTCATTATTTTCTATTCGAGTTACATGTGCTATCCATTTTAGTTATTGCCGCTGTTGATAGTCCACAATGATGTGGTTTCTGTTATTTGGTACAGTTCTTTGTTCATGTTTCTGTAGCATCAGTCCATAGTGTTCAAAGAGGGATGATCTTTGTCAAGGCCCTCAGGTTTTACTCGCTCAAAGCCTTTTGTCTCTATTGATGTTTGGAAGAAGTTGTATACAGCTGACAGTTTAGATATTCCTGAACAGGTTTGGGGACATCCATATTAAAGTCTCAATCTGACAAGGTTATTTAAAAACATGGCTCAAGTTTTCAGGTTGATGTTTTGGTTTCATAGCTGTTTCTTCTGTTGCACGTTTCACTTGTGAGACTCTTTTGTGATGTCAACGAATACTTGTTGTCACTTTCATAATGCTTGTTGTAGTAGAGACTTTGTAATTGCAAATACAACTACAGTAATGTCATTGAACAATATTGGTATCAGACACCTTCTAATAACACTTGCACTAATAGTACTTGTTTTTAAATACTTAAAAATGTTTTAAAAGTAACCACTGAATAGAAATCCATTATAGTGATGATATTCACTAAATATGCTCCAAATGATCTCTTGTGGCACAAGGGCGAATTTTTGTGGGGTTGCCGATTTCATAATTTTTTACAAGAAAACATCTCCGTAATTCCGTAAAAAATAAAAATTTTGCTTGGTTTTCTTCCCAGGCAAAACTGATTGCCCTTCCAGCATAAAATTCGTTTGGGTTCCTCTCTAAAATAAATTATAGAGAAAATCTTTCACAATACAACTACCAAAGTAATTCTACTTTAGTGATCACTTAGATTCCCAATTAATTCCTATAAATATATTTATCTTCTGTCTTCTTAATTCTTGGTCTTTTTATTGTCCTCTCTCTTAAATAATGTTTCCGCAGTTTTTGATTTCCACTCAACTTTAATCTTGAAAAGTTTAAATGCAATGTCAATTGTTATCTTCTGTCTTCTTAATTCTTGTTCTTTTATTGTTCTCTCTCCTTAATAATGTTTCCGTCTTCTTGCTTCCTCAACTCAACTTTATCTTGAAAATTTAAATGCAATGTCAATTGTTATCTTCTGTCTTCTTAATTCTTGTTCTTTTATTGTTCTCTCTCCTTAATAATGTTTTTTTTATTCTTTTCATTTCCAATCAACTTTAATCTTGAAAAGTTTAAATGCAATGTCAATTGTTATCTTCTGTCTTCTTAATTCTTGTTCTTTTTTTTGTTCTCTCTCCTTAATAATGTTTCCGTTTTCTTTCTTTCTAATATTCAACTTTAATCTTGAAAAATTTAAATGCAATGTCAATTGTTATCTTCTTCTTCTTAATTCTTTTCTTTTTTATTGTTCTCTCTCCTTAATAATGTTTCCGGCTTCTTCCTTTCCATTCAACTTTGATCTTGAAAAGTTTAAATGCAATGTCAATTGTTATCTTCTGTCTTCTTAATTCTTGTTCTTTTATTGTTCTCTCTCCTTAATAATGTTTCTGGCTTTTTTTTTTTCAACTCAACTTTGATCTTGAAAAGTTTAAATGCAATGTCAATTTTATCTTCTTCTTCTTAATTCTTGTTCTTTTATTGTTCTCTCTCCTTAATAATGTTTTTTAATTCTTTTTCTTCAACTCAACTTTGATCTTGAAAAGTTTAAAATGCAATGTCAATCGTTATCTTCTTTTCTTCTTAATTCTTGTTCTTTT